AAAATCAAAGTCATGGTAACGAGATTTGATACCTGAGAGGCCTTATGTTGACAAAATCAAAGTCATGGTAACGAGATTTGATACCTGAGAGGCCTTATGTTGACAAAATCAAAATCATGGTAACGAGATTTGATACCTGAGAGGCCTTATGTTGACAAAATCAAAGTCATGGTAACGAGTCTTGATATAGGATAAGTGAAAAGAGAAAAATAAAACAACGAACAACTTCTCTGAACTTTAAACAGTGAACACAATTCACATATTTTACATATAACCACTAGATATGACAAAAAATACAGTTGCAGAAAACATTTGAGATAAAGGCAAAAATATGTCTAACAATAAATCAACTGGCCTTGCTGGCACTGCCCCCCCCCCCCGAAAAATCTGAAATAGTCACTGATGCCAGATATAGTTCAATCTATCAAGTGATGAGATAACACATTAATTCAATCATTTAATTCCTTATCTGTTGATGTAGGGTGAGGTTGGGTGTACGCCCAGTTCCTCGACATTGTGAGGGGCGGGGGTGGGAGGGGGTGCTGAGGATTCAGCTAAACCATTTTACCGGGGGGGGGGGTTCTCTTGACATCTTAAGGACCCCTGATTAAACAACTGTGAACACGACACTGAAGGTTTAACAGCTCCTCGAATGTGCTATTTGTGTTTCAAAGACGACAGGCCTTACATACAGCACGGCCACTCTGATGTGCGATTGGCGTTTAAAAGACAATAGGCCTTACAATCAGCACATACTCTCTGATGTGCTACTGGTGTTTCAAAGACATGTTTCATGGGGCAGTTTGAACTTTACAGCAGAAAATACGTTATTTCAAAATCTTTAAATTTTTACTTTCTCTGTCTATGTTCGTTAAAGTAGGCTTTTGGCCGACACCTTTTTTTATGTTTGTTTTTGTTTAACTTTCGGCGCCTATGTGAACTTACATAAAAATTTGCTCAAATTTTGCGTTCGACCAAATTTACGTTTGATCAAACTTTCCGTCGATCATTTTTTCCGTCGACGAAATTTTTTCAAACAAATTTCCGGATACGGGGGAAGTGCAGAGCCATTATGGTCTTAGTTACGACTCGTGGAATAAAAATTGAATGAGTGCCCTCTGTCCAAAAACACACGAGATGACGCTGAAAGGCAACATCAACCGATTCCCAATTCTTTGTTTGAATTTATTTTATTATTATTAGTATTTATTTTTTTTTTTGGTTGCTGCTGCCTTCATCCATGCCCTTGATCACAATTCTCTCAGATGCGACAGTTCAGCAGCGAAGAAGACGTGTGCCGTGTGCTTCAGAACAAGACCATCTACTTCATCGGGGACTCCTTCATGCGACAGGTGTACACGTCCCTGCTCGCCGTGCTGCGGGGCAACAGAGCCAGACACGTCCTCAGGGACGACGTCTCCCAAGGTAACGCCTTAACACGCTGAGCAACGTTGTCAGGCACGCTGACGTGATTCACAGTCATCGCTGCGGGAATGTTATCTGAGTGGTGTGGGGGTGGGGCGGCCGTGAATGTGCTCTGCGTGGGAGGAGGGGCGTGAATGTTATCTGAGTGGGGGGGGGCGTGAATGTTATCTGGGTGGGGGGGGTGGCGTGAATGTTATCTGAGGGAAGGAGGGGTGAGTCATTGAAGTACATCACGCGGGTGTAACGGGAGGGAAAAGGGGGGGGGGGGG